GTCTTGTTAGTTTGTTGAGCAAACATTGATGCAAACAATTTTTAATTACTTGAGAAGAAATTTCTTGTTGATTATAATTTGAAAAATTAAGTTTTAACAACATACTTGACACAACCCTTGTAACTTTTTAAATATTAAAATTTAGATATTACCTTGGCATTATGTTTTTAGTACATTGAACCACAGAAGAGAATATGGTATATTTTTTATTAAATCCTGTGAGTTTTTGTGAGTTGAATTAGAAACCAGTTTACAGATGAGACAAGCCTTCCTTTAAAATTCATTGGCAATACAGAGTCTATACTGTGATGTATATAATACAAACTCTCCAGAAATATTCTCCTTTAATTCTTTTATGCCAGTAATTTCCTCTCCTATTTTAACTGTGATGTATAAAAAAGCTTTTTAAATGTTGCTTAATTAGTGAAGGACCATGGTGTACATTTTTAGCATGGTTTTAAATAAAGCACTTTGGATAATATCTATGCATCATGTATATCATCATATCTGATACAATTCATATTAAATTCATATAAATGTGAAATATATGTTCATATGTTTATATATATGTTACCATTCTAATTGATTTATATTCTAACAGCATTAAAGCAGTTTTTGAAATGCATTGGTAATAAATAGACTAGCAGTGATTGTTAAAGTACTGTGAATAAAATTATTAAATTCAATATCTTTGCAACATTACACAGACTGAGCATAAGTGTGTGTGTCTGTGTCTGTGTAAATATACATACATGCTGTAGAGAGCTGCGTGCAGCCGCACCTCAAAGATGGCGCTGGCTTCTGCCTTCCACCCTCCCGATGGTGAGTGCTCTCTGTGATAAACAACTCCTTATTTGACTAAGGCTAAGGATTTGGCTTGCTTCCATATACCTGGACCTATCCGCAGTACCCACATGGCAGATTGGGGTTGACTGCCCAGAAGCTATTTAGGTTGTGGGTTGGCTTTCCCCGGAGTCACAAGATTGTTTCAAGGTTCCTGAATAATCTTCTTGGAGAAGAGCCTGGTGTTGCGTCTTCCTTGCTGGTCGAGGCAGACGCGACAATATGCATGTAGCAGCAATTAATGAATCCAGAGGCCATGAATTTGAAAGGAAGCAAGAAAGATTATATAGGAGTAGAAGTAAGAAACGAAAGGAAGAAATTATATAGCCATATTACAATCTCAAATATGAAAGAAAAAATAGAAAAAAAAGTTTTTACAAGAGCTACAATGAGTTAGACTAGAGTGAATTCTTTCAAGTTTTAGTTGTGTAGAGATATCCTGTTACCCACGAAACTCAAGCTGACACATCAACAATCTATAGCATACTGGTATCCAGACTAACTATATGACTAAGTTCTCTAGTCTGCCATGAACTCATTATTTTCAGCGGAGGAATATTAAAGTTATTAGCATGCTACTTGTGTGTCAGTGTTGAATTTTTAAAATTATAATATTACTTGATACTTTCACACATGTGTGTAATGAGTTCTGGGCCCCCCTCATCCTTCTGTTAAACAGGGACATGGCAATTTTTTTTAGCTCCTTCTTTAACTTTTTTTCTAGATTGTCACTTTCCCCACTCACATAGATGGTTCTGCATGTGAGAACCAGGCTAACAGACTTCTTCCTTTTTCCCTGGAAGATAGGAAGGAGATGACTATAAGCACCCATCAATCAGGTTGTAAACAATTTTCTTCCCCCTCAAAAAAGTATGAAAAGTAACCCTTACTCTGATGAGTAACCCTACAATGCCATTATTTATCTATGGCATTAATAATTATTTTAATAAATACCTTACTTAAACTAACAGGCTGAATCATTGCCCTTCTTGAATCTCAAAGTTGAAACCTTTAAGTCTATCTTGTCTTTTTGCTAGTCCACTCACACCAAACTGCAGCTCCCAACAAGTGCCTATCATCTCTGCATGTCTTCTGGGGTTGTTTCTGAATCCCTTGTGCTCTAGTTTGATTACATTTGCTGGGATAACATACTATGACACAAAATAACTTAATGGAGAGAAGACTTACTTATAGAACAATTTCAGTCACTATCAATCACACTAAGTCAGTCAAGTCAAGGAACTTGAGATAGGTTGTCACATCACATCTGTAGTCAAGAGCACAAAGAGAATGAATTAATATATACTTAGTCTTTAGATAGTGCTTAGTGTTCCTTAATCTTTTTAAAATTAAATTTAATTATTTATTTTATATACCAACCACAGTTTCTCCTCCCATTCCCTGTCCCTGGTTGCCACCCCCCGTCCCCACTGACCCCTTACCCCTCAATCTACTCCTCCTCTGTTTCTGTTTAGAAAGGGGCAGGCCTCTTTTGGGTGTCAACAAAGCATGGAATATCAAGTTGCTATAAGACTAAGCTCCTCACTTTCATTAAGACTGGACAAGGCAACCCAGTATGAGGTATAGGTTCCCAAAAGGCAGCAAAAACATTAGGGCTGGCCACTAATCCCACTCTTAGAAGTCCCAAAAGTGTGTGTGTGTGTGTGTGTGTGTGTGTGTGTGTGTGTGTGTGTGTGTGTGTGTGTGTGTTCCTATGCAGGCTCCTTGGTTGATGGTTCAGTCCACATGAACTCCTCTGAGTCCAGTTAGTGTTTCTATAGGTTTTCTTGTGATGTCCTTGACTCCTTTGGCTCTTACATTTTCTCCTCCCCCTCTTCAGTAAGATTTCCCAAGCTCTAGCCAAATATTGGACTGTGAGTCTGCTTCTGATTCCATCACTTACTGCATAAAGGCTCTCTGATGATAACTGGGGTAGTCAAAAGTCTTTGAGTATAGGAGTATGTCATTAGGCATCAAGTTGACATTTTTTTCTCCAGTTGTGTTTGGTTCTGTAATAAATCCCTGGGCCACCCAGACTCTGGACCATAGAACTCCCAGCTATGCCATGCATGGGCCTACTCTCGTGTCATGTGTCACAGGCTGGACAAGACATATATTGGTTGTCAATTCCCAAAATATGTGCCACCATTACCCCAGCACATCACGTAGGCAGGACAGAATGTAAGTCAAAAGTTGTGTGGCTGGTTGCTGTCCCAATCCCTCAAATGGAAGTCTTGCCTGGTCACAAGAGATGGTCAGGTTAGGTTATTTATCCAGTGTTGTTAGGAGTCTTAGCTGGGGTCATCCTTGTCGATTCCTGGACATTTTCCTTGAACCAAGTTTCTATCTGACCATTGAATAACTCCCCTCTTCTAGTCATGTTTTTCAGTACTCTCCCCATTTGTTCACCCCCAAACTAATCTCTCATATTTTCATCCCCACCCACCCTAGTCCACTCACAAGATCTCTTCTAGTTTCCCTTACCAGGGAGATCCATGTATCCTACCTTGGGCCTTCCTTGTTACCTAGGCTCTCCAAGTCCATGGATTGTAGTGTGGTTATCCTTTACTTTGCAGATAATATTCATTTATATGTGAGTACATACCATGCTTGTTTTTTTAGGTCTGGGTTACCTCACTCAAGATGATTTTTTAATAGTTTCATCCATTTGCCTGAAAATTTCATGAAATCATTGTTTTTAACAACTGAGTAATAATAGTCCATTGTATAAATTACCACATTTTCTTTATCCATTCTCCAGCTGAGGGCATCTAGTTTGTATCCAGGTTCTGGCTATTACAAATAAAGCTGATATGGACATAGTTGTACAAGTATGCTTGTTGTTTGTTTGAGCAAATTGTAGGGTATATGGCCAAGATTGGTATAGCTGGGTCTTGAAATAGATCAATTCCAAATTTTCAGCGAACATGCCATATTGATTTCCAAAGTGACTGTACAAATTTGCAATCCCACCAGCAATAGAGCATTCCCCTTGGTCCAAATCCTTCCCATATAAGCTGTCATTTATGTTTTTGGTCTTAGCCACTCTGTCAGATATAAGAAGGAATCTCAGACTCATTTTGATTTGCATTTCCCTGATGGCAAAGGATGTTGAACATTTCTTTAAATGTTTTTCAGCAATTTGAGATTCTTCTGATGTGAATTCTCTGTAATAAATATATATCCCTTTTATTGATTGTATTATTGTTTTATTATGCCATTTCTTGAGTTCCTTACATAGTTTTGAAATCAGATATCTGTTACATGTGAAGTTAGTAAAGATATTTTCCCATTATGTAGGCTGCTGTTTGTCCTGTTGACAGTGTCTTTTGGTTTACAGAAGATTTTCAGTTTCCTTAGGTCCCATTTATTAACTATTGACCACAATCTGTACTACCAGCATTTTGTTCAGAAACTTGTTCATTTTATCAATGAGTTCAAGTCTATTCCCCACTTTCTCTTCTATCTGATTCAGTGTATCTTTTTATGTTGAGGTCTTTGATATATTTATATTTGTTCATTTTGTTAGGTATAAATCTATTTAGATTCTTCTACATGCTGACATCCAGTTATGCCAGCACCGCATGTTGAAGATGCTTTCTTTTTTCCATTGTACAATTTTGGCTTCTTTGTCAAAAAATCGCATGTCCATGGTTGTATTGATTTATATCTGTGTCTTCAATTCATTCCCATTGATCCACCTGTCTGGCTTTATGCCAAAACCATGCTATTTTTATTATTATAGCTCTGTAGTAGAACTTGAAATCAAGGATGATGACACTTCCGGAAGTTCTTTTATAGCACATGGTTATTTTAGTTCTCCTGTGCTGTGGGATGGTCTGTATGTCAAATTGCTCTGATTGGTCAATAAATAAAACACTTATTGGTCAGTGGCCAGGCAGGAAGTATAGGTTGGATGAACAGAGAGGAGAATTGAGAGAACAGGAAGGTGGGGGGAGACACTGCCAGCCACTGCCATGACAAGCAGCATGTGAAGATGCTGGTAAGCCATGAGCCACATGGCAAGGTATAGATTTATAGAAATGGATTAATTTAAGATGTAAGAACTAGATTGCTAGAAGCCTGAGCCATTAGGCCAAACAGTTTAAAAAATATAAGTCTCTGTGTTTAATTGGTTGGGTCTGAGTGGCTGTGGGACTGGCGGGTGACAGAGATTTGTCCTGACTGTGGTCCAGGCAGGAAAACTCTAGCTACACTCCTGTTTTGTTTGATTGTTTGTTTGTTTGTTTCAAATGAAGTTATTACTGTTCTTTCTAGATCTGTAAAGCATGGGAAACAATATCATTCACAATAGCCACAAATAATATAAAACATCTTGGGGTAAATCTTTCTAAGAAAGTCAAAGACATATGTGACGAGAACTTCAAGTCTTTGAAGAAAGAAATTGAAGAGATCAGTGTAGTAGGCCTGTAGGGTTGAGAAAATTGGCTCAAACCAGTAGCCAAGGCATGCACATGGCTCATACTTCTTTATGAGCCAACCTGGAATTTGTTTGAGTGCCTAGGAACAGGAGCTGTCAGAGTTCCTAGTCAATGTCAGAGTTCCTGATCATGCCCAGCCAATGAGGGACTACCATGCAATGCCACCAGATTGGGACACAGTTTGACTTCTGGGAGAAAGGTATATAAGTCCTTCCCCATTATTGAGTAAATGAGTCTGCTGTTTGCCTTCAACTGACACCCAGTGTCTGTGTCATTGATGCCACACTTTCTCACCCACTACCCTGAGGGAGCCATTAGGATCCAGCAATACCAGGAGACATTAGGATTCAGCAACAGATCAAAAGATGGAAATATCTTCCATGTTCATTGATCAGTAGGATTAGCATAGTAAAAATGGCCATTTTACCAGAAGCAATCTACATGTTCAATGCCATCCCCATCAAAATTCCCACATAGTCCAATAGACCTTGAAAGTTTTCTCTATTCTTATCACAAAAGTCTTAAAATAAGGGAAAGGTTTGGCCCATGTTCAGACTTGATCTTTGCACACCAATTAAGACAATCCATATAGTTGCCTGCAGACATATCTATGTCCAGAATCCTTCATTGAGACTTTCTTCAAGGGGAAGTTCTAGATTTTGCCAAGTTGACAAACTATCCATCAGTCTTCACGACCTACTTGTTTTTTAAATAGTTTTACTTCCATCCACATAAGCATGAGTAACTCATGAGGAGGTCTATCACTGAAGACCATTGCTCCCTATTCTCTAGGAGGCCTCTACTGCCACTTCATCACCTAAGCAAAGCAAGGATTCATGAACCCCTCTTCATCTGAGACCACATATTTTCTGATTATTTCACTGGCCCTATGTACTCAACTGAACTCCCATTAATTCATTACAAATGTCCTATCTCATCCTTTACAATAGACCATCATTATAGTTCAGCCTTTGTATTCTTTCCGTCCCCATCTTTTGTGATGTTACTTATCTTTTACTTCAAGTTTAGGGATCTCCAAGGAAAGTCTAAGTCTTGCAATATTGCTCTTCTCTTCTGATTTATAAATGATATTATTAAAGCTGCACGTTTAACAACAGTGAGAGATTATCACAAGTTGACAGTAGCATAGGTCCTTTGCTGTGTCAGACAAACCTGTGACTTTAGTATATGATGTCATCATTATTCTCCCATGGCATTTCGTTGCACAATTTTTAGTCATGTTCTATCAGTGACCCTAGTGCAATTTTTATAGACATGAATTTCAGTATTGGGATATTTATATCTTCTGACAATATGTCTTATACAAAAGAAACATCTATGTACTATGGGCAGAGCATTGGAGTTTGCCAAGATGAATTAATCATTGTTTTATCCAATGTATTCATAATTGCTGAAAAGACTATAAAATGGTCCAATACTTTAACATAATTTACTATTCTCCCTCTTATCATGTTATTAAATATTTGATGCATTGTCTTTAGATAGAATGTTATGAAAATAAACTGATTAGTCCCAGAGAACCACAGAACAATCTTTGAATCACTTTTTTAAATCCCTACTTTTCTTCAGAAATTCCCTGGCTGTTGAGAGAAATTATAAAAAGTATGTAGCTGATTTGCAATTAATCAGTCTGTGCTTGTATTTATATTGTCCTTTCTTCTTGAGCACTTGCTATCTATACAGTTAAAATCTGAACAGGGAGGTGAAAACAGGTCACCGTTTGTTGGAGATTTGTACTAGATTGGCAGTGTTTGTCTTCAAGTGGTCAAGGGTCAGAACTAGGAATCCATTGCATTGGCTCAGCATTTTCCTGGAAGATAAAGAGAAAAATAGAAGGGTAATACTTCCATTATTCTACAAATGAGAAAAGTTGTTCTTCTATTTTAACAAATTCTGTTTTTGAATTAATATTGTTCTTTATATCATAGGATGTTATTGTTTCTTCACACTAATTTTCTTGCTAGATATCATAGAATGTCACTGCTAAAAGAAAGTGATCAGAAACAAAGACAAGATTATAATATTTTAAATAGACTTAGAGAATGAAAGTTAATATACTCAGTGAAAATAAACCAGGGGACAGAAAACTTATCAGATAATATTACAAATCAGAAATGGAAAAAATAGCTTATAGATTTAGTCTTTACCTGATTCAAATTACTTCTGTGTCACACTTCTTGAATAATTTAATCAATATAACAAAAGCTACTTCTCGTCTGTGATATCAAAACAATTTTTTATGACATTCCAATAGTTTAAAATTATTTTGATTATTTGTGGAATATATACAAATCACATCTATCATAATACAATGTCATTTGTTACTTTTTTCTTGCAAAATTGCAACAATTCATGTACTTCCCAGTATGAACTGATAGCATGTGCTTTCTGAATATAAGGATCATGCAGATCAAGTCGTAAATTATGGTTATAAAATGTGTCATTATGAAATAACTTGACCTATGTTATATGCCCATGCTCTTGCCCAGCACTTTCTAATGTATCAGCCTGTATCTCTGAGTTGGCAAAATGTGTTGTGTTGAAGTTCAGAATTTATTGTTTCACACACAGTGTGAATACCATACCTTTCACTCCATTAGCAACTGCCAGAGTCATTTTGGATTTGACATTCCCTATCTAATTTGACACCAAATAGCTAATCTCTTTACCCTTTAAATTTCTGATGTGTCATATTGCATTACATTTCTGCTGTCACATTCCATCACTGTGTGTTTTGTCACATAGAAAAGCCAATGTGATTTGGCATAGCAAAAAGTGATGGGATCCAAGAGAGTTACCACAGTTCCTGTCAATGGAGCAGAAACAGCAAATTGCTTCAACTGTGTAAAAACTAACTTATGGAAGAATAGCTGCTTGGTTAAAAACAGATATACATGTAAACTATAATAGTTAAGGGAAAATATATGGATATTTTAATATCATATTTAATACCTTTAAAATAGGAAAGAAACTGAAATTAGCAACCTCCCTTCCCCCCCAAAAAAAGCAGCTTGATTTTATTTGATTATGTATGTTAACATATACTTCTTAATGTTTTGGATAATCTCTTGAAATATCTCTCAAAGTCATGTCATTTTAATTCTGGACAAAATTATGAATGATGGCCATAGGTTGATTTTCATAAAAGCACTGACTTTTACATTACAATATTGAAATTTATCACATTTAAAAGAATGCATTAATTCTACTCTGAGAAAAGTGTTGTGTTGTATTTTGAACTGAAACAAACAAGCAAAATATAAACAATTTATGTGTAATAGGCTCTATTATAAAGGCAGAAATTATCTATATTTATATTTGTATTTCATTTGCTCCTATTTCATAGTAAATATATTTACATTGCATACATATCTGTATTATCTCATGATAATTTTTGTTAATCTGGTAAAATTACACATTTAATATTAGAGTTCTTCAAGAAGAGTAACTAGGTACATAAGAACTTTATTGAAAATTATATGTGCACTTAGGAAACTGTAAAAAATAAAGATTGGCAATGAGAATTGTCAGTTTTATTTGTAGGATAGACAATTTACAGAACTCTCAATTTATAAGGAATTATCAATTGACAGGAAATGGGAATGCACATCCAAGTTACCACTATAAAAACCAAGGTAGTGTAATTTAGTGGACATCATGCAGAAATATCCCAGATAGTTCAATCCTCTGATGCCCTAACTGATGGGAAATGAATTCTATCTTTATTACCACCTATTATTCATTATTTAAATATGTATATATTTATACATGTATAAATATGTGATTTCAAAGAGTTTCGAGTAAAGACTAATCTTAACACTTTATGTATTCCTTATGACTTTGTGTAACTTCTGTCAAATCATTTTCCTAGTGTCTAGTGTTGTAATCTCTGCTTCAGTACTGCCATCAGTATCATCCTCATCTGAAGGACATTGGACTATGTTGTGCAACAAGATTATGACCACTTACAAAGGCTATTAATTGCTAGTGAATTCATGCCACAAAAACTGTCCAATGCAATAAATGTAATATCAATTCCCAGATAATTATTGTTATAGTACATTAATTTGGTCTGGATCTTTTAAATAATTGATTAATATGGAAGCCATCATTTATCTCTGGTTTTAATGCTTGTTTTCTGACGCTTATCTTTGCCCCATTTTTACAGGAACATCTCTTACTTACATAGGGACTGTGCTTCCTAACCATCCAGCTTGGTTCTTAAAAGCTCTCTCTTTCTCTGTCCAAACCTAAGAATTAACTTGTGTTATGATCATTCAAATATCCTGTAAAATGAAATAAAGTTATCAATATGCATAAATTTAATTGCCAACCAAAAGAGTACCATTTTTTGTTAAGAGGAACTTGAGAATGAGTAGAAACAAACCTTTCTGGAAAGAACTGCAGCTGATATTGCTCATTCTGCAAGACTGATGAAAGTATCTGGACTTCAGTGATTATGGGAAAGCCTGGATATTGCAATTCCAGAGCCTAATTACAATTTATCTTGGGCTCACTTTAGCTCTATTAGCAGTCATTTATTATCTTCTTTTGTATGTGAAGTAACATCTTGGGACTATTAGGTAAATAATTCTGGAATATAGAAGGAAATTTTCAGCATCCACATATGAAATAACAAATAATGTACTCAGATAGCATCTGAGATCTACAGTTGAGATTTACAGGCTTTCCCCATAGAGTAATGTTTCAATCAATGTATTTTTAAGTGTCTTGATTCATTATTTTATTTGTTCTGTTGTGATAAATGTCTTCATGACTCTGTAACACCCTGGAACACTAAACTAGGGGAAATCTGAATCTATTATAGTGGGCCATGTTCACTCATTTTTGGCTCTAGTATAAAGTATCTCTTGTCTATTTTGAAGTAAAAATTAGATTTTTGGGGACAACAAGGTATTTTAAAAATCAATGTATGGGAAAAGGATATATACATACATATATATTATAATGTTATAAATGTATATCCCATATTATGTGATAAAAATATGAAAGATGGATTATGAGATGTTTCAGCAACTGAGAACATGCTCTGCACTTACATACAACCTGAGTTCAATTCAAAGAAACCCATTGGGTGGCTGACAACCTCTTCTAATTCCAGTTTCAGGGAAATCAGATACTTTAGACTTTTAGACACTTGAAATCACATGCACATACCCACAAAGAAACACAACCACATACCTCTAATTAAAATAAAACTATTTTAAAAATGATTTCTTCCTTTATATTTTGAGGTAATGGCATCATTTCCTTCTCTTTCCTCCCTCCAAGGCCTCCCATATACCCCCTGCCTTATTTCAAATTAATAGCCTATAGTTCAATTAATTGTGCTCACACATATATTCATATATATCACAATTACATAAATGTAATCTATTATCGTATAACTTTAACAGTATATATGTTTTCAGAGCTAATCATTGGATATTAGATAGCCAATGTTGTACTTTTCTATAAGGAAGACTAATTTTCCTGCTCTCAGCATTGCTTATATGCCTGTAATTTTCTGTGTAAAGTTGAGGTCTAAAATGAATCCTTTAAAAAAGAATATTATAGGGAATAGAGAAATGACTGGTCTGTGAAAAACAACCTATTACTCTGATAGAAGACCAAGTTTCAGCTCCAAGGATCTCTCTGATGACTAAAGCCTTTTGTAGCTCCAGTTTCAGAGGCCTTATGGCAATCTTCTGGCCTCCTCGAGCATTAAACACTCATGATACACAGACATGCATGCTTCCAAAGATACCATTTGGAAATACAAACATTTTTACAGGAATATGATAGGTGAACCTGGTCTGTTGGCACCATCTTGTAATATCTGTATTCTGGACAAGAGGCATGAGGGATGATGCAAATTCCAGGTCATTTTGATGTGCACAATGGGTCCCAAGCCAACGATATTGGCATGAAAGCATGAGATACATGATATTCCACCTTAGGATGAAATGAAACCCCTGCAGAGTTGCCTTCCCTTCTATTACAAATTTATTTATACTTCTTCAAAAGATAACTTCAAACTAGAAGTTTTAAAATTACTTGGAAAACTTTAAAAATAACAGTGAATAGTGTTACCAAAAGACACGTGAATAGACTAACAGAATTTCTTTTCCCCAAGCTGTTTTATTTTGGAAAATAATGCAAAATTCTAGGAAGAGTGGTGTATGAGCATACAAAAAACAATTTACAACAGCAAACTTTATATATATATTTATATTCCCTTGGCTTCCACTTAATCAGAGTTCTTCTCAAAACAGGAGGAATTCAGTAGAGAATATACTGAGAAAACCACAGATTATTTTCAATAGCTTATACAATGTAATTATTATTATTATAAATAAGAGGAAATTAAACATTTTATAAGAATGTTTGATAGTAATTTAAATCTAAGCACCTGTTTCTAAAATAGCCACTGGCAGTGACAATAAAATAAAAATAGATTGAGTTTAAATTAAAACAAATGTCTTTTAGAAAACACAGCTGGGATCCTCATACATTTTCTCTATATAAATGTTATAATGAAAGCTTTAAGTTGTTGGCAATATGTATTAGTTTTTTATTAATTATCAATTTTGATATTCAGTTGTTTTATCATATAGCTCAAATATGCATAAAATGTTAATATTTAATTATGAAATTCATTACTTGAGGGTGGGATTCAAATACTGAGAAAATGAACCTGATGTTCATTGCTCAAAGATTCAGTTTGATGATTTGAAAAATTTGTTATGTACACTTTAAATAAATTTTAGTGCAAGTGATGAAATAAATAATACAATTAATTGAATTATTTTACATCCATTAAAGGGTTAGGTTATAATTGATCAGTCCAGAATGTGATTTATAATACACATTTTTAAAGATACATAACTATATTAATAGAGATTTTGCCTGGAAACTTTATACAACCAATAATAAAAAGTATTTTCATTTTTGTGAAAATACTGGCTATCTAGATATCTACATTTTTAAATATTATTAAAATATTATTCTCATTATAATATCTTGTTAGTTTTAAAATATTATTCTCATTAAAAATATCTTGTTAGCTTTTGAGAGCACAAACTTCAAAGAAGATAGTGAAAATCAGAACTCACCAATGTAAAGTGTGTATGTTTGAGAATAAATTCAGGGCTACTTGTTTTTATTTTGATGTGCTTTCTATATAATTTCAACTTTTTTTTTTAAATCTAGACAAAGCAGAGGAATGTATCTTAGAAGTTGGAAAAGTAGAGATTTTCTTTCCTGCTTCTTCTCTCTACACTTTTACTTCTGACAGACTATCTAATAACGAGGAAAGACCAAGAGGCCAAAAGTACTATGAATAATTTCAGTTTCAGAATAGCCTGAAGGATATCAATACTGAAATGAGTAGACTAGGGCTAGAATCCATTCTCACACTTTCTCAGAGAAAGGAATGAGACTCAGAGTAATGAGAAAAGTTTAACAGAAGAGGAAAGACTAGATGTTAGGGGTAGGAAGGTTAGAGGAGCTAAGCTATGGTAATGAGACAATGAGAAGGCATAATGCCTGATACCAAGACTGCATCAATACCTAGAAGAGAGAATTCAATGGCTAAACCACTGAAGAGAGGCACATAGAACAAACATGATGCATGTGCATATACATACATACATGCACACTGACACACATACAACTATATACCTTAAAAGTCTGTCTCTTCTTGTAACCATTTTTTGATTATCTGGGCTAAATAGTACATTGAATAGAGCATATGCTGATTTTTATTGTTGTTGAAATAATTCAATACTATATGCAACATTTACATTGTTACTTCTTTAATTTTTGAGAATTTCATTTATGGATACGATACTTATATCATCATTTCCCCCCACACCTCTCCTCCATCTATTATTCTCTTATTTTTCCCATTTATACTCTCTATTAATTCATGGCCTATTATTTATTATTGTTAACTCTCTTTCTACACACATACACACACACAGAGGGAGAGATAAGAGAGACAGAGAGAGAGAGAGAGAGACAGAGACAGAGACAGAGACAGAGAGACAGAGAGAGAGGAAAGGAGGGAGGGAGGGAAGGAGGGAGGGAGGGAAGGAGGGAGAGAGGGAGGGAATAGAATATGCATATTTGTTTAGAGTTGGCCATTAGGATTTGGGTAGCATAACATGGATTTCATCCCTGGTGAAGTCTGATTTTTTTCTTTCTCAGGAACCATTATTGCATGAAGCTCTTCATAGAAGGTTAGGTCTTGTGAAATATTTCCTTTTACATTTGTATTGGTGTTCTCATTTTTCAGGGCTTGTTCAAGTGCCAGATCATTGAAAAGCTTCATTTTCAGCAGAGAAGGGCCATAACAAAAATATACAACTAGTTAAGCTCCCAAGAATAGCTAACCATAGAGTGTCCAACCTCAATTTGTATATCTTAAGCAAAACCATGTGTATGAAGCACAGAAAATATATGGGAGAGAAAGGAATGATTATAAGAGCCAGAGAATAGAGACATCTTCAGTGAGATAGCAAATATGACATATAAGTAACATTTATATTTTGTTACATATGATTAATGATTTGGAGATAAAGTATAACTTAGTGAGTGACCTGATTACATGAAAATACTTATCATTTATATAAGATATTTATACAGAGGTTGATTTAGATCTCAGAAAGGACCTGAGAAGCTATATAACATGAATAATAGTTTGAATAAAGGCAGAAATTTGGTTCAGACACAGGGCAGAGGGGAGTTAGTCAGTCCAGTTGGTCCAAACAGGTGTGGAGGTTCCTTCTCTCAGTTTCATATAAGCTCCAAGCCAATTAAAGGAGCTAACAAGGAACCAGCAATAAGAATACTCTTGCCAGGCAGTGGTGGCACACACCTTTAATCCCAGCACTCGTGAAGCAGAGGCAGGTGGACCTCTGTGAGTTTGAGGCCAGCCTGGGCTACCAAGTGAGTTCCAGGAAAGGCATAAAGCTACACAGAAGAATACTCTTGTCTGGTATTTGTGGCCTCCAGCAAGAACATTATGACAATTAATTTTTTGGATCCCTTCCCATCAAATCACTTTCTAACATCTGTATTTATCACATGCATGAACTCTTAATATTTGACTAAGCAGACCAAGCCACATAACTGATTGCTTGTGCAGAGGGCCACTGATTACAATCATTTAATCATTTCATAAGGCAGAGTCTTTAATAGAGTAATGCTTAGTACAGATTGTGTATTTAGGAAAAAGTATTTGAGATAACGCAGGCTAACCTCAGACTCCCTATGCCTCAGGATATCAATTTAGTTTTAAAATCAAAAAAAATGTTGTTAATGAAAGAACTATATTGAAATGTGAAATGAATCAAGCAGAAAGTCTATAAATCAATTTTTAATAAGTGACAGTTTCCTGTAAAAGTTGCAAACTCTAAATTTACCGCCCCCCACACACAGCTGTGGACTAAGATATGGTTTGGGGGGGTAGTTGACTTATAAAATCTAATTTTGCTCTTTGTTGTTACTTGGGATGTTTCACTTCTGTTAGTCTTAAGCAAAAGTGAAGCCTTTTGCTCTTAATAAACATCTGCCAGAAAACTTTGGGC